CATTTCCCCCCCATCCCACGCGGTTCGCGGCCATGTCCCGACTGTTCCACTTGGTCCGCGGCCATTTTCCGCCTGTTCCACATGGTCCGCGGCCATTTTTCCGCCCGTTCCACGTGGTCCGTGGCCGTTTTCCCGCCCATTCCACTTGGTCCGCGGCCATTTTTCCGCCCGTTCCACGTGGTCCGCAGCCGTTTTTCCACCCGTTCCACGTGGTCCCTGGCCGTTTTTCCGCCCCTGACACGTGGTCCGCGGCCATTTTTCCGCTCTGCCACGTGGTCAGTGGCTGTTTTTCTGCCCGACGCGTGGTCCACGGACGCCGGAACAGATTAACGGTAATTACATTGAACCTTATGGGAAAATTTACTTCGACTTGCGACCAACTCGACTTGCGATCAGAGTCACGGAACGGATTAAGTTCGTAAGTAGAGGTACCACTGTACTTCTTCTAAGTGGCATAGTCACATGATGCCACACTTTATGTGACAAGAAAACCTGCCTTTTCTTATGGCTATGACCCTAAACTGGACTCTGTTGACCTCTCTCTCTGGATCAATTCAATTGGAACCCACCAGTGCTACACCCTTACTATAAGGAAAGACCTCACCTTTCCTTTATTTCTGCTGGAACTTGTGTGTAACTGTTCAGCTGAGCATTCTACCTGTCTTCTGAGGTTTTTTTAAATTACAACCCCATCATTAATCCAGTTGCAAACCTGCTACTGTGTGACTGCTCAGTCTAAAAGAGTACAGTTTGATTCCAATCCCAAAATAGAGATACTTTCTCCTCTCTGCTTTTGCAACCAAAATGGGACTTCTGCTTGCAGAAAAAACTCAGAACAACTTTCAGCTCACTCTTTGTGTTTACATTGTACAACTATACCTCTCTCACATTACAAGAGTCCTGAACCCACTCAAGAGAAATTTGAAGGATCCCTAGATGGGTTCCCAGAATTTTTGGCACAGTGCAATCTTTATATAAATCGTCACATTGTTGGCTTTGTAATTAGCCTGCTATCTGGGCCAGTTGTCAAATGGGCTACTCCTCTGCTGATGTACCAGAAGCCCTGCTGAATAATTTTCACAAATTCATTATATAGTTGAAAATAAGGTTGAAGATCTCATCAAACCACTCACAACCAATCAGCATGTCAAGAAGCTACACCAAGGGTACGCTCAATGGCAGGGTATGTGAACAATTTTCAGCTTTTGGCTCAAGATTTGAACTGGAATGAGGCTGCTTTGATAGTACAGTTCCAGAAAAGTTCAGCAGATGAAAATACAGATGGTTCTCACTTAATGACCACTCATTCAGTGACTATTCAAACTTACAATGGTGCTGAATGAGTGGTACTTATGACCAGTTCTCATACTTACAACAGTCGCAGCATCAGCTCGCAATTACGACATTTCAGTATTTGCGATTTGCAACCTTCTTTGCCAGCTTCCTACAAGTAAAAACAGTAGGGAAGCTGGCAGGACGTTGCAAATGGTGACCATGTGACATCGTGCTTAACAGCAGCACAGGATTCGTTTAACAACGGCAACTGGAGTGCTGGAATGTCGGTCACTAAGTGGCATAGTCACATGTCATACTTTACAACCGACTCACTTAATGATGGAAATTCCAGTCCCATTTACCATCATTAAATGAGAACTACCTATATTGGATAAAGTGGTCAGACTTGAACGCCCACCCACACTGCAGGGCCAGATTCACCTCTGCATATCAATAAGCTACTGGAGCAACAATAAACAGGTCTTGCTGCAGTCTTCCAAGAATCATTTCAGGCTCAATACACTGTATTTGTAACCCTGGGGAAAACTTCAACTCCTTTGAAAAAACCCATAGAAATTGGGGATCCTGATCTTACCCCTAAAGAAAAAGCCTATCATAGACAAGCAGCCCTGTGCTTATATTGTGGGGACCAGAGTGATCTGTCTTTCACATGGGCCACCAAGCAGTCACGCCCTGTTGTCTTAGAAAACAGGCTCCACCTGGTCTAGATGGGTTACTAATTCAGGAAGCAATATCAGCCAAGCAGTTCAAGCTCCAGTGCTAATACCCAAATAGCACTTAATAGTGCCTCTGACATTGTGGGTTCCAGGTTGGATGGCTGGGATCAATTCAGGGGAATTTTAATAAACTTAAATTCACAGAGACTCAAAAGAATCTTAGATAGTCTGATAACTCTCTTTTGGTGGTAGAAACCACTGATAAACAGTGTCAGCCTTCCCAGGTAGACCCAACAGGAAACACGACTGGATGAGCTAATTCTCCTTTATTGTAAGGCTACATTAACAGAATCTTGCAAGTCTGAAAGTACAAATCTCCCACCATTATCTTTAAGCATGAGAAGCTAGGGAGGGTCCCTTCTGAGCCTCTTGCTCCATCCATTATGCAGCTGTGGGCTATGCCCTCTCTTATCTGAC